AACTAGAAAAAGATGACTTCTGAAGTACAAAAATGTACAAAAACATGAAATCTCTATCCTGATTTCACTGATATCATGGATGTATCCCCTTACCAGAAGAAGTCTTTCTGCTGTCCACAGAGAAAGTATCAAATTCAAGAATATAACCGAGAAAATTCCAATTAAATTTTCATGAAATATAACAGAGTAGGAAAAAAAAACAAAACTTTGTTTACAGAACCGTTACCTTACGAACACCATTTCATTAGACAACCTCCGAGCAACATCATAAATCCACTCCTTACAAGAATGCAAGCAATCTCCATTCACAAACTCATGAACAACCCCATCCAACTCAATCACACTCCTCCCAGTCTCCTTCTTCATCCCCCTCTTCACAAACTCATGAACAACCCCATCCAACTCAATCACACTCCTCCCAGTCTCCTTCTTCATCCCCCTCGCCTTCATCAACCTCCTCATCCTCCACACATCAGTCCACATCCCTTCATCCGCATAAATATTCGACATAAGAACATAAACCCCTCCATCGTCCTCTCCGATTCTCACAAGCTCGTCTACAACTTTCTCTGCCAAGTCCACACACCGATGAGTTCGACAAGATGCAAGAAGGGACACCCAAAGTGCAGGAGTTGGCTCCATCGGCATTGTCTCAATGAAAATTCTAGCCTCCTCTAATCTCCCAGATCGACCGAGGAGATCAACAATGCATCCATAATGCTCGATTTTGGGCTCGCTGCCAAATTCATTCTTCATCCTATGAAAGATGTCGAACCCTTCGTCCACTAGGCCCGTATGAGTGCATGCAGTCAGAACGCCGAGAAAAGTTAAATCATCCATCGGAGCTCCTTGCTTTAGCATATGATAGAAAAGCTCGAGGGCTTCTACTCCACGACCGTTAGTCCCAAGACCAACGATCATCACGTTCCAAGAAACCAAAATCGTGAGGAGAAGACATCGTTCCAGTGAATCAAGACGTGCGGATCGTCAACGGAGAGCAAACTCGACGCGAGCATTCGAGGGAGGCACTCCATCGCTACCAAGAAGAACCCAGTTTTAAACAAAGGGGAAAACCAAATTCGTTCTCCTCTCTTTTGTAATCGAATTGTAATCGGAATCAAAGAAATAAAGTTTAATTTTCTTTATTCTTCTCTTTACAATTTTCCCTACCAACAAGAATCAATTGGATGTGGCCTCCACACATCACATGTTTCACATAATCTCTATAGGAATAGGATTTATTTAATAAACCTCATATTCCTAATGATTGTAGGAATTGAATTAAGTCAGTAAACCTCCTAATCCTAATCCCTAGGACAGGAGCATGATTTAATTAACAAACCTCTTAATTCTAATCACTATAGGAATATGATCATATTAATAAAACTCCTACTTCTGATCACTGTTAAACAGGAATCGGATTAATCAAATCATATATATATATATATATATATATATATATATATATATATATATATATATATATATATATATATATATATATAACCAATTGGATTTGCTTAAAATTATAATCTGATTATCATTGATCAGAAGGTTTTTCTTTCCCAGGGTTTCTAAACTGGGTCATTTTTTTTCCATTCAGCTTTGTCCTTGTTCTTTGGCTTTCTTAATATTGGAAATTATTTCCTGAAAATTTGTAATTTCCACATCTTTTATCAGTGTTCTGTACAAATACTTATTGCCAGTGATTTGAACTAGTTTCAAATTTTGCTTTTTCAATTAAATTTCATATAAGAGTCTCTCTAATTTTACATTTCATACACACTATGTTCTGTTTGTACTCAAAAGATGAATGTTAATGCAAATTGTACTTTGGCCTTAGTAATTTCTCATATATTTGACCCAGCAATAAATCTGAAACACTAATCTTTATAGATTTGCTATTCTTTTTGTATTCTTGTTCTGAATTGTCAATGCTTCAGATCTCAGGGAAATGGAAGCCGATCTAAAGCAACAGGAGAAGTTTGCTCTTAATGCAGCCACACACTACGAGAATTGTAAGTTAATATTACACCTTAGAACAATTTTCAGATTTTGCTTTATGTCAGAAGTTTCTATTCTGTGGGCGATCGACCACCACAGTCGACCACCGCAGTCGACCGCAGAAGTCTCTGGACCTCGGGTGCTATTCTGGATTGAGATCGGTCGACCGCGATGGATCGCGGTCGACCGCCGCTGCGGTTATGGGCTGGGTCTGTTTTCAGACCCGTTTCATTTTGGATTTGTATAAATACTCTTTGGGTGTTTTTTAGGGTTATGAGAAAG